GGAAAATCTGTTGTCAGAGACCTCTCCAAAGTACTGTAAAGCAATAATGTCAGTCTGGAGACTAAGGTTTACCTGATCCAGGCCATATTCTTGCTATGCATCAGAAAGCTGAACAATGATGATGGATGATCGAAGGAGAATTAATGCTTTTAAGCTGTGATTCTGGAGGAGTATTGACTATACCATTGACTGGTAGGAGAACAAACAGTTTCTCCCTAGAGAGGGTAAAACCAGGCTGCTCCTTAGAGGCAAAGATTCTGAAGTTTTGTCTGATATGCTTTGGACATGTTTCAAGGAGGGACCAGTCCTTGGAGAGGGATGTCATGTTTGGGAGGGTGGAGGGACAGTGCAAGAGAGAGAGACCTTCGATGAGATGGATTGATTCAGTGATGAACGATATTATTAAATAATTCTCACATTCTTTTGAATCACTGTTTTTGAGAATGGAAACAAATATGGAACTTTTCCAGCATGTTGACCAGGTAACTATCTTCAGTATTTGTTGACAGAGGCTGATGAACACATTAAGCTTTGGATTCTATTCCTAAAACACCACAATTGGTATTTCATCCATTCCCCGGGCCTTATTTTTTTATCAGTGTTTTCAGTACATCTTGGAATTCTTCCTTTAGTACTATTGGTTCTTGATTATGCACTACTTCCTAAAACGGTTCAATGTCATCAATGATTTTTGGTGCCATGATACTGTACATTCCTTCTTTTTTTTTTATGCTTCCTACACCACTAAATCTTTTACCCATAGAAATAGTATTGCAACTCCTGGCTTGACTTTGTTTTTCGTTTCTTTCAGTCTGAGAAATGTTGAGCATTCTTCCACTTCTTGTGCCAACATGAAAAATTTACTGAGCATTTATATTGCATTATAAATGCCAAGCGTTTTGTGATGTGTGTGTATGTAAGTATGCACATGTGTTTATGTGTTGTATAAACATGTTATTGTTACATGGCTTTAAGTTGGACAAAACTCATAGCTGACCTTCTAGTTGGCCTTCCGAAGCTGTAAATGACATGGGAGGAGACTGTCCAACATTCTCCATTGGAGCAGGTGGTTTAGTCAGAACACCTACATTTGGGTTGACAGTGCAATTCCTTATTCACTAGACCTGCAGTTGTTGTTATGTGCCTTCAAGTTGAGTACAACTCATAGCAACCCTATGAAACAGATCTGAATCTTCCCTATCCTATGCCACTCGAAACTTCTCTGACATACTTGAACCTATTGCTCCAGTCACTGTGTCATTCCACTTTGCTGAGGGTCTTACTCTCTTTCATGGACCTTCCACCTTTCCTAGCATGTTGTCCCTTCCTAGGGAATAACTTGTTCTAGCAAATGCCTGAAGTATGTGAGATGAAGCCTCACTATTCTTGCTTCTGAAAAGCAGTCTAGATAATCTTTCCAGAGATAAATCAAATTGTTCTTTTGGTGGCCCATGGGATATTCAGTTATCTCCAACACTACAACTCAAAGGCATCAATTCTTCTTCTGCTATCCGTTTTCACTTTTTAGCTCTCATAAGCATAGCAGTGATTGAAATGACTATGATCTGAATTAGGCGCACCTTAGATATTGTTGCACCACAGGACTTCAAAGAGGTCTCTGACAGCAGCCTTTCCCCATTTAATACATTTTTTATTTCTTTTTGATTTCTTGTTTTGCTAGTGCCGAGGATGTTCATTGTGACTCCAAGTAAGATGAAATGGCTGAAAATATCAATCTTTTCCTCATCTATTATGATGCTTATTGGCCTAGTGGTAAGGATTTTTGTCTTCTTGATGCTGAGATGCAATACATATTGAAGTCTGTAATCTTTGCTCTTCTGCAGCAAGTATTTCAAGTCCTCCTCACTTTCAGCAAGCAAGATTGTACCATCTGCATAACACAAGTTGTTGATGAGTCATCTTCCAACATTGATGACACATTTCTTTGGAGCTCAGCTTCTTGAATGATTTGCTCAACATACATGTTGAACACATATGAAAAAAAAGATACAGCTCTGATGCATATCTTATGTTATTTTAAACCATGCAGTATTCTCTTGATCTGTTTTGTATGAGAATGATTAAATGTTCTGTAATTGTTATTCTTCTCAATATTAACACTAGTTTGTTATGATTCACACAGTCAAATGTCTCAATAAGACAAAAATAACTATTCTGCTGGTATTCTCTAATATCTTGCAAG